AAAAAAAAAAAAAAAACAAAGAAATCTTGGAAAAGGTGGTTACCAGTAATCATGCTAAAAAAAATTAAGATGCTCCAATCTGAGAGAGTTTCCCACTGAAAATTCACTAAATGGCAAGTTTACAGATGTTAAGGTGAGCCTGAGTTATTCCACTGTCACCATGGTTATCCTAGTGCCTCCCAAAATTAGAAATAAAGTGTATATACGTTTCTCTCTCTTCCCAAGAGTCAGGAAGGACTGGGCTGTTTTTTCTGATGAGGTTCTAAAGTGGATTTTAAAAGGCATTGTAAGATGGTTCAATCAAAGAAGTGGGAATTGCTTCCTAGCTTTGATCAATACTGACAATGAAATTGTTTCTTTTTGCAACTTGAGAATTATGAGGGAAACCTACTAGCAACACAGGTGCAGGCCTTAACCACAGAAATGTAGGCTGTATTTTCCAGGGCTTTGGAGTGGAGCCTGGAACTGGAGCAGTTTCGGAGCTGCAGGTTTTTGCCTGGAGCTGGAGCGGAGCTGGAGCACAGCTCCAAAGCCCTGATATTTTCTACTAGTATTTATGTTAAGGATTGTGCCTGTCCCTCAGGTTCATTTGTATTTTAATAAAACTCTTAGCAGGAAAGGGTTAAATACACTCTTCAGCACTATAACATGGATTTTTATTTAAAATGTATTTTAAATCCTTGGTTTCCTACTGGCTGGTCACAGATCCATTCCACTTATAGTCATTTTTATTGCTAACATCAGGTTAATAAAAACAGAAATCTTCTTTAAAAAGCAATTTGATGTATAAGAAATAGGCCTGAAAAGATACTTATTTTGGTTGTGTGTCTTTGTTTTATTTTTGCTGGAAGACATCTTGAAGGTATGATGCATATTGACTGGGAGTGTTAATAACTGAAGGAACAAATTTTCTGAAATTAACACTTTGGATAAAGGACTGATACCTTAAAAATCTGAGTCTAAGTATTTTGGCATTGCTGCGCTCAGCATTCCAACACCTAACTGATTTAGGAGCCTGTGTCATTTCAAAAGCAGTTTAATCACTTAGGAGCCAAAATCCCATTGACAGTCAATTGGACTGAGTTCAGCAACACCTAAACACCTTTAAAAAAAAATCTGGGCCATAGTCATTTTAAATTAGAAAATTTTATGTGAATACTTCAACAGTGATTAAGAGTCACTTTCCTTTTTAATTGCTAAAATTCTCTTGACTTTCCAGATACCACTTGTCTACCTTTACAGTCATCCTAGAGCCAGGGTAGTCAATTATTTTGTGTCAAGGTCCAAGTTTCTTGAACCTAGTATAGTCAAGGTCCAGATTCTAGAAAGAGAGAGAGAGGAAAAAACAAAACAAACAAACAATGATGCTAATAATAATAATAAAATAAAAAGATTTCTGAGCCCATTCAAAAGCATCTGATGGTCTGGATTTGGCTCATGGTCTGCCTATTCACTACCTCTATGCTATAGTCTTCAGGCCTTGTGTGCCTGATTATAGAAAGCCAACACACTTCTTAGACCTTCCTTAGCGATTACAGATAAGGGAATGTCCATAACTCTGAGCAAACATTATGGCTGTTCTGTCAAAATTTTACAACTGAACATTGACTTAATACAGTTTTGGAATTTTACTATGCCAAAGAAAAATGCTGCTTTTAAACCATCTTAATTTAAATGAAACAAGGACAGAAACAGTTTCCTTATCTTATCAAAAGAAATTTTAAGTACTTTACATTTAACATAGCACCGTATTTGCCTTTTTTTGTCTCTGTTGCTGCCTGATCACATACTTCCGGTTCCAAATGAGATGTGTGGTTGATCAGTCAGTTCATAACTTCTACCATATCACCACACCCACCATGGATCTCTAATGTCCTGGCACCTAAGGCTACAACTACACTGCAAACAAAATCTATGAACTTGTAATACCAGAGTCAGGGGCGGGGCAGCAGCTTCAGCAGATGCTACTGAGTAACCTCACTTCGCATGAGCCTGCTCAGTCCCAGCCGTGCCATATTTTTTAACATCACACCGCCGCTTCCAGACACACGCCCCCCAGGCCCAGCACTGCCACTTTCACGCGCAGCAATGCGCCAGGCCTTGCGCGCTAAGAATGGAGCCTCGCCTGCCGCACACCATGGCCTCGGCTTCCTGCCGGCCGGCGCTCCTCCAAAAACATTCTCCGACCTAAGCCCGGCACTCTTCCCAGCGGGACAGCCGGCTGCACGGCGCCTACTCACCGGGCTGCAGCGGGCGGCGGCCGCTGGTCCAGCCCCCGGCCGCCCGCGGGACACCAAGCAGAACCCGGCCTGCGCAGCTCAGCCCGCGGTAGCCCCACATGACCGGGCCCCAAGCAGCGGCGTCTGCGTGCGTCTCTGTTTGCCCTGGAGGCCACCCCACTAGGCAGCGCACAGCAGGCGGAGCTCGCTCCTGCCTGGCCCGCTGAGCCAGGCCCTTTCAAGGGCCTGCGCGCGTGACAGCTGGGCTGCGTCCCATTCAGGGCGTGAGGCGGGGTGATGGAGCCTGCACAGTGTGGGCTCGTAGCCGGGGTGTCCCGTGCAATGGACAAGTGGAGGCCCGCGCAAGTATTTGATTTTTCTATTTTAAACCAAAAAAAAAACTTTGTTGTGGAGTCCCAACGTTTGAAAATTAATGTGGAATTTAACAGACTTAAGCTAACAAGTGCAAGCTTTTGTGTTTACCCTTCAGCTAGCGCAGGGAGCAAAGATTGCTCCAAACTTGGGACTCCCACATGGCAAGGGTAGTGCTACCAGCTGAGGCTACAGGCTGGTGATTCAGCCGGTAGCATTATGGGCACCGCTCCCATCCAGCAATCTTACAAACCATGTCTCTTCAAAGAACAGAAAAGCCTTTGGTGTACAGGTTGAGAAACTCACATTAGACGTTGATCAGCGGCGGTTTTTCTGTCAAGCAATTGGGTGTATGATTTTAAAAAGTGTGTTTCTATACATATATAAGATGATATGGATTACTGAAAAGATGAGTATTTTATAATGCTTTTGAAAAGACTCTCGCAGCCAGCCTAGTGGCATATGGTGGCTGTACATTTCCACATGGAAGACCTGTCACTGGTGCAAACCAGTCATGTCATATAATAAACTGTTTTCCAACCTTCAGCGTAAAAGAGGAGGTAGCATAATTTAGAGGTGCAAGTAGGGACTAGGAGTCAAGAAACTAGGCCCTCGACCCTACAGTGATCAATGCATTGGCCCAAGGGATCTCCAAAGGTTCAAAAGCCACGAGTCAGACCCCCCCCCATTCATGAAATTGGCTTAAAATAGTGAAGTTTTTTAAAATAATAGTTTTTCACCTGTCTTATTATTTTTTATCCTTTGGGGGAAGCTGCTCACAATCAGTTTGTGTGTGATCCTCACATAGGATGACCAGACAGCAAGTATGAAAAATCGGCACAGGGGTCGGGGGTAATAGGAGCCTATATAAGAAAAAGACCCAAAAATCAGGACTGTCCCTATAAAATCGAGACATCTTGTCACCCTATCCTCACAGGGTCAAAATTCAACCTTAAATGTCCACACAAAAATGCAACCCTCCCCCTTGACTACAGACCTTATAAATACATGTACCAAAATAATAACATAATAGTATTTCTAAAAATCTCATTATCATGCTATCTAGATGCCTGTATGCTAATTCAGAAGTACATCAATTTTCTCAAGGAAAATGTACACAGCTCCCCTCCCTAAAAGACTAAAACAACTTATTTAAGACAACTCAAATTTAAGTCACCAGTGCTACAATCAAATCTGCACAAATCTGATTCCAAGACTGAGGGGAAAAAGAGCAATTTCCTTGAGCATGCAGCCACACCATTTTGGGTATGTCTGCACTGCAGCTGGGAGAGTGCCTCCTGAGTTCCAGCCCAGGTAGACTGACTCTCACTAGTTCAGCTTGAGCTAGTGCTTTAAAAATAACACTGTGGACATTGCAACATGGGCAGTAGCTCACGCTAGCTATCTGAGCTCAGACCCTGGGAATGAGGCAGGTTTGGACACAGGTGACTAGCCTGAGCCACCACCCATGCTGCTATGTCCACCTTGCTATTTTTAGCATGCTAGCTCAAGCAGGGCTAGTGCATGTCTGTCTACCTGGGCTGGGTGGCTCACTCAGTGCTTAAGGAAGCTTACTGGAAAACGAGTTAAGCTCTGATCCCAAAAACACTTATATGAATGCTTAACATGACTATTGTAAATAGTTCTACTGAAATCAATGGGACTACTCATGGTAGTAAAGTCAAGCACATGCATAAGCGTTTGCCGGATTCAGGCCTTACTTAGTGCAGTAAAGGTGGTAACACTTGGACTCGCTCTGACCTCCAGCAGAAGTGAAATCCACTGCTCAGGATTGTCCACTGAGGACATCCTGACCTTGCCAATTTGAACATACTCTCATTCACTCTGTACCTATCAAATACATCTGCTGGAATTGGGCATGGAGTGAGAGTTCCCTTTGTAGTAGATAAGAGCCTGGACATTGAAATGGCCCCATTACCGACTATGCAGTCAGATATAGATTTTTTTAATGTAATAGTTTCACATTAAACTGCCCCACCTAACTCATGGGCAGCTTTGATTTGAACTAACTGCAGTCTCCAGGTTGTCAATACACTAACACAATAGCACCTGTGTCTTTATAGCCCTATTCCAGACTTCCGTGGAAAGTAAATATATATGTATTTGCACTTCAGTCATTTGTAAACTAGAATATCAACAACTCTGGATCTGGCTGCTGTCCCTATAGAAGTATGGCAGATCTTGTTCCATGTGAATGTATCATTTTTCGATTAATTTCTTACTAAGAATTAATTTCCACAGCAGTTTGACAGGCTTTGCTTTAAATTGTAAAGTCATATTTACAAATGAAAACAGATTTAAATGAAAAAAAAAAATAAAGTAATGGTGGCAGGGACTTGTTACTTGTGATGATGAAATCCAAAATTATTATTAATTATTTGTTGAGAATTGACACAACTCTCAACACTCTACAGAAAAATGGAGAAGACCCTGTTTCAGCTCCCAGGAGCTTATTATCTAAAGCAGGAGTGGCCAACCTGAGCCTAAGAAGGAGCCAGAATTTACCAATGTATATTGCCAAAGAGCCACCGTAATATGTCAGCAGCCCCCCATAAGCTCCCCCCCCCCAGTCCCAGCACCCCCCACCCACCGGCAGCCCCACCAATCAGTGTCTCCCTCTCCCGCCCCGCACCTCCCGATCAGCTGTTTTGTGGCATGCAGGAGGCTGGGGGGAGGGGAAGGGGAGAGGAGCGAGGGCACGGCAGGCTCAGGGGAGGGGGCGGGAAGGGGTGGAGTGGGGGCAGGGCCTGTGGCAGAGCCAGGGGTTGAGCAGCGAGCACCCCCTGGCACATTGGAAAGTTGGCACCTGTAGCTCCAGCCCCGGAGTCTGTGCCTATACAAGGAGCAGCATATTAACTTCTGAAGAGCCGGCTCCGGAACCACAGGTTGGCCACCCCTGATCTAAAGGAACTATCAGTAAAGAGCAATTCAGGCACAAAGGATCAGTTGAACAGGAGATTCAATCACACAACTGTGCAGTAGTGATTTTAAAAGTAGATAAATAAAAGCAATTCTTTAGATGGTGGGTTGGCACTGGTAGGCCTTGCAGCAATTTTGAAGTTGGATGAAAGGGGAATGGATGCAAAGATGGCAGACCTGGATTTGTGGGGGGGGAGTCATAGCATTTTAGACATAAAGGGCAAGATGGAAGAAGGCACAGAGAAGAATACAAAGTGAGCGGTTAGTCTGAGGTGAGAAGGAGCTGAGAATATAGATGAAGGCTAGAGGTGTAGAACCAAAGTGTCAGCTGCAAGATGAAGTGACAGCATCTGGTCAACACATTATCATTTGATTAGCATCAATTCTGTACCCTGAAAGGAATGATCTTGAAGGCAACCACCTGCAAAGCTTACACAGTATACCTACCTTCTGAGATTATTATTTCTGTAATAATTTTTAATTAAATTGGGGTAAGAGGTCTTGCTACCTGTGGTTATCCTGGATATTTGTAGTGAGATCCCCCATTAGCAACTCACATTTTTCACTTCATATGAAAGCTTTTGCCCTCAAGTACATGTGTGTAATTCCCATTGGACTCATTTGGGTTACACAGATGTAATTAAGGAGAAAATTTGGCCCATAATGATCATTTTATGTAATTAAATAAAACATAATTTAGGTCCTTATCTTGCAATGCCTCCATCTGCACAGGTTTCATTGACTTAAAGAAGTGTTCTGTGCAAAAGACTTGCAGGATCAGGCCCTTTTAATGTTTCCATTATTTTTGGCTTCACAGCCCATTTCTCACTGAAAAAGGGTTTAAAGCAGGGGTAGGCAACCTATGGCACGCGTGCCGAAAGCGGCACACGAGCTGATTTTCAGTGGTACTCACACTGCCTGGGTCCTGGCCAATGATCTGGGGGGCTCTGCATTTTAATTTAATTTTAAATGAAGCTTCTTAAACATTTTAAAAACCTTATTTAGTTTACATACAACAATAGTTTAGTTATATATTATAGACTTATAGAAAGAGACCTTCTAAAAACGTTAAAATGTATTACTGGCACGCGAAACCTTAAATTAGAGTGAATAAATGAAGACTCGGCACAACACTTCTGAAAGGTTGCCGACCCCTGGTTTAAAGGCCCACCTTTTGTTTCAGCAAGTAGAGGGTTAACTCCTGTCTTGGCTCTGACACAAGTGCACAATAAGTACTCCTGGGGGAATTCTGCATCAAAACATTTAAAATTATGCAACAAAAATTAAAAATTCTGTGGAGCCTGGGTGTGAATTTGGAGGGTTGTTGGGTATGGGTGGGAAAAGTAAGAAACAGGTTTTTTGGGGTGGTAGGGAGGGATTGTTAGGGAACTTCCCCCATGCAGACCCTGGCTGACCCCTAGCCTCTCCCATTCAGTCAGGCACATCTGCCCCTGTCTCCATGTGTCTCTGCACCCCCATGTGTCCTTCACCCCCATCCATGTGTCCTTCCACCCCCACTCAGACACCACCTCCCCCATTCCCATGTGGCCTTGCACCTCCTTCCTCATTCCCAAGTGTCTCTGTGCCCCACTCAGCCACCCCTGTACCTATGTGGCCCTGCACCCCTTCCCCCATCACCATGTGACCCTGCACCTCCCTCCTCCCTGTGGCCCTGTGCCTCCGTGCCTCCATGTCCATTCAGCTCCTGCCCCAGTCTGTCCTCCCCCACTAGTCCTTATGAGCCACTGTCTGACCCCCCCAGCAGTCCCACACTTTCTATCTCCCCATATTTCCTGTCTCCTGATCTGGCCCGACAGGGACTGTGAAGAAGGCACTACTGT